GCGTTTTGCCGGCTTCTTACACATCCCACCAGTTCAAAACGACTCACGTGAAAAATGATGCTTATTATGGAGCACCAGTAAATTTATACTATTTCAGAAGCACACTTACTTCGAATAATTGGGCGAATATACAAATTCCCCTCAAAATTCTACGCAGATTTTGCCCTTTCTCAAAACTCAATCACTTGAATATTAGATATGTCAAAAAGGGGCCCCAAAAATGCATATGCAAATTCCCCCCCGTGAAATTCTCATACGCATAACAAAGGGTACAAAAACAGCCTAGACTGCAACGCACAATGATTGCTATTCTATTCTGTTGCCGGTCCAACTTATGCGCTTTTGCGCCTAAATTGCGGATCATTAAACAATGGGTGGTTTCTGCGCTGTAACTTAGCAATCGCACTCAGCCGGCTGTATTTTGACGCTTTTCTGCACGAAGGCGTTGTTCTGAGGCGGAAAGTGTTGCATTGCGGGGCAGTAGGGACCTCCAGCGTGCATGATTACCAACTTTTTGCATGAAGCCCGGTTGTCTTCCCGTTGAATGCCCGTTCATCAGGAAAGTGCAAATTTGGAGGAAGTCGGAGGTGCTAGTCCGAATTTCACTGTAGCAGCGCGACAGCACCGTACAGCAAAAACTTGTAATAAAAATTCGAATGGAGTGGGTGACCAAATACTTTCGCTGCTCTGGGAGCACTTTTGAAGGGATCAAGATCAAATTCCATTTTGCATTGCGATTTTCGTACTGTGAGCAGGAAAATCGATGCGCAACACGGTATTTCGAAATGTGGACGTAAAGCTTCGGCATCACCGACTGGAATTCTTGTGGACAAATTGTGGATACGGAGAAGTAAGCATATTAGGCAGTAGTTTTTCAGATCCTCTTCTCTGCTCTTCGTTCTGATTCGCTCTCGTTGATTATTGCAGAAATGAGGTAGTCAAGCAGAAGATGAGTACCTTTTTAAAAACAGAACAAAAATACCGGAAATTTTATGCAATAAAATTCAATTAAAATACAGACACAAATTTAAAAAAAAAAAACATATTAAAAATGCTAAAAATTTTTTGAGAACAAATGAGGCAAGAAACAAAAAAAATCAGTTTCGGCTCAAAAAAAAAAATTCGCACGAAAAAAAAAACTCGCTCATCAGAAACTTACGGGGGAGTTAATTAAGAAATGCTGTAATATCGAAATCTCTAATTTTCGCGGAATTTTACCGGAATTTCTAATTTTTCTAACATATTCGGGAGTTTTTTACTAAAGAAAAAAAGTGTGATACGACACATCACAGTAAAACAACTGCTTAAATAGCTGAATAAAAACTCTTATTTTAATTAATAAAATGTTTGTTTGCCATGCAGCGGGACTGAATGATCTCCTCTCACATCACACATAATTCAAATATCTCATTTCAATGAACCGCGAATAAATCTGAAAAAAAAAGCACAATTTCTATTTTATATTAAAAAAAATGCCAAGAATACTCACAGCAAAAAAATCAGTTCAAGCGCTAACAAAAAAAAATTAGCATTACCAACTCTGTCTAGACAGTTCAGATTTTCGTTACAGATATTCTCAACGTTCGGGAACGAGTTCCACATAACGTGAACCTAAAAAAGAGAATGCAGTAGTTTTGCATGTAAACAAAGAATTCATTTCAAATTAAATCTAAGTAATCAAGCGAGGGCAGAAAGCGTTCAGCCCTTGCCCCGTAACAACGGCTTAGCTCGGAAGTACTGCAATACATGGAAAAATTACATCCCTGAGGTAATGTCTCACTAACTCCTCCAAGTTTTCACGTTCATCCGGCGATCCATAGCTAGGATTGTCCCTCGCTATCACCCACTAACTTTGATTACCCAGAAAGTTTAACTCAGCATCAAAAAAAAGGGTGCCGTTAAGAGTCAAATCCCCCGTTATCAGACAAATCCCTTTCAAGGGAAATCAAGACACTTAAAAACAGCCCGAAAATTAGCACATGTCAATATCAACCTCCCGCTGGCAGCTTTTCTCTCCCAAAGTTGACCGGAAGCGGGCTGGCGGCTGTTCTGGCTCTCTGGCAAATTGCCAGGGTCTATTTACGATCGAAACGAATGAGCGAACTGTAGAGAAGTATGGAAAAAACCTCAATCAGACACTCACTTCGCGATGATAATCGAAATCACATACCCATGTACTCGCGATTTCGCTGCATAGCAGCCTCAAAATCGCCTCGACTGCGGAACTCCACGACTGCTTCGCCGCTCGGACGATCCGTTCCATATTCATAGATAATATCAATCGATGTTGGTCGAATCGGACGGAAAAACTGAATTCGAAATTTCAGAGTTATGCTTTTTAAAAATAAAGCTTTTGGCCATCCAGTGAGATTTAGTTCCATTTTTCCTTTGCCCCTCCACGGTCAAAGGAAAACTCTCAGGTAACGAACAAAATTGACTTACCTGGACAAATGCTACTTTTTGTTTTATCACGTCTGACTGCATTACATGTGTCTCAGTTTCCTTTTTCAAGCGAGAAAGGGGCAAGGAAATTTCCTCTGGAAAGCAAAATTTGCCTCAGAGAAATATAAATGATGAAGGCACTAAATGACAACACAATTCATTGCTTATTATTCCGCAAAAAAGATGTTAAAAATTTAAAATTTCTGCAACTGCGGTACCTCTTCCTTACTCCTTTTATTTCCGTGTACAATACGAGAAACCGTGCATTTCCCTACTTATGTTACCGTAATACAGTGGCTGCAAGTTAGCCATCCGTAAGGTGTTGCAACATGGAAAAGTTGCTGGCTACTTCGGTGACGCAAATGCTATGATACAGCGACATGTGCTCAAAGTATCAAGGTCAGTGACATGAAAAACCGCGCGATGGAAAGGTTAACGACCCTGTGGAGGAAATCAGAGTTAAAAAAAAAAAGGAAGAAACAAGTGAGGTTGTTTGGACGATCTCCTCTTCCCAATTTATTCAGCGTTTTTGTATTGCATAGCTGCAAAAATAGCATAAAAATGCATATTGCAACGACCCCGTTTGTGTGTTTGTGTGCACACATCTATCCGAGTATTTCAACTCAACAATCAAGCAAGCTCCGACGCCAAAATTTTACCAATGGGTTCCCGGGCCAATTGCCACACACCACTGATTTACTTACACGATACATAGCGGTATCACAATTCTATAGGGACGTGACCTCTGTGTCGTTATGCAATACTTGGGAGGGGCAAAAGGTACTGATAATTTGCTTGGAATTGGTAATTTCATGACATACCCCATCTTGAAACCACCCATGCAATCTGTATTCACAAAAAGGCTAAAGAACGCGGCTAACAGTGCTTTTTATCACAGTGCCCACCGGCTGCTATTAACTGACCCTCATTCATTTACTGACAGCGAAGCCAGTTAAGACGGATGGACAAAACCTATTCAAACGATAAGTAACGGCTATTCGGAGGACGATTCAAAAGTGGACGGTCCAAGTGAGGCGACCGAAGTGGGTTAAATTGATTAAAAAAATTTTTTTGCGGCCATGGTTAAGTCGAACCATAATTTCTGAAGTGGTCGGCCGTGGTTAAATCGAACCATAATTTTTGAAGCAACGGACAGTCTGAACCGTGGAAAACACGGAACGGCCAAAATCCTTAAATTTTAATATGGTGTGGAAGTAGCAAATGGATTATGATGGGAAAGATGGTAGGACTGCTAATGCGATGACATTAGGAAGAGTCATATAAAACGGGATATGTAGAAGTTGGCCGGCCCGTGTTTCATCCCCTAGCTGTAAACATAGACAGTAAAAGGTGCTGTTAGGTGTGGGGATCATCAGTACAGCCGCCTAACCACCATGTGAAAATGTCAAATATCGAAGTGTTTCGGGAGAAATCAGCCATCCCACAGCAGGACGCCCTCAATTCCAGAGTTGCTGGAGTGTGGCCCTGAAGTTATTGGGATACACTAGCACAACTTATCCAGCATTTTATCAGTTTGTACTCTCTGCATCTACAAGGGCCAAAATGTTGCATTTTTCATTTTGCGAGTGCCACACTCACTGAACCAACCAATCCAGAAAAATGCACCAACCCTTCGCTGCCAACCAACCAATAAAAGTAGCACCGTTTTCGAAGCCACAATGCCAAAAATCCATAAAATCCGCGGTATTTGCCTCCATTTGGCACGTTGAAGCAGCAGTTGCCATTAATCTGTTTTACTTATTTGGAAACGAATGTGTGTTACGTTTCAACTTACATCGACAATGTCACGCTCGGTTGCGCGATACGGAAGGCCGCGCATCCGAATGCTGTAGTCCGGTGGCGGGGTCATATAGCGACGCCGCGGCGGCGAATACCCCCTATGCGGTGGCTCATCTCTCCAGCCCCGTCGCATTGGTCCACCACCACGTCCACCATAACCATCATCGTAGCCATCACCTCCGCCTCCATATCTGTCGGCCCATGCGTCTGCAACCCCCCGCTCACATTCACAAACAAAACCCATAGCAGCAGCAGAGATCTTCCGCCCAAATGCAGCCCAACAACCCTGATTTAGCAGTAGCCAGTAGTAGCCCAGAAAATCCAGCTTCTCCTCCTCCTCCTCCTCCGCAGTACAGAAGAAAGAACCAGGTCTTACGCCGCACCACAACACCTCCTCCTCCATCCATTTGTGTGACATAATTCCATTCCCCCACCAGAATGAGCACCACCACATTTCGTGCCTCAGCAATTTTGCATAACTTAAAAATGGCACAAAATCATTCAATGCACAGCCTCAACCTACCGCTTCGATGCATTCTGGAATCACGATAACCACGATCACCTGGGCGATCGTACGGCATACCTCGTGGACGGCGATCTCTGTCCCAACCTCGGCCGCCGCCCCCGCCGCCGCCACCGCCACCATACGGCTCACGATCGTCCTCCAATGCTCGCATCATTTCGCCATAAGATGACGCATAAATGTCCACATATCTTAACAAAAAAACACAATAAATACCTTTCCTGGAGCTATCACTCGGTACTGTCGGTGGCAATGCTCAAAACAGTCCAACGAAATCGATTATTATTTCGTTGTTAAATGCTTCTGTCAAGAGAATCGCTAAGTTTGCAATCCTCAGACGTGATGGAAAAATAGACAACTTTGCTAGCAGACAAAAGTTGAAGATTTGATCAAAGCAAATGAAGCAGTTGCCAGTCAAAATAGCTAGAGAACCAAACTGTAAAATCTATTCGAACTGTAAATTTCCTCTTTTCATTTTCCATTAAGCACTGCGACCATCATACTGGCAAGGTCCTGCTGTCACGATGTACATGACTTAATGAACCGAAACGCCTTATTTCACTCTTATCTCCTCTAATACTGTAATCTGTCGCATCTTTGCCATTTAAGCTTCAAAGATCAACCTGGTTTCTACAGTCTGCTTATGCCTGTTTTGCTGTATAATTTTCAAAAAAAAAGGAGCGAAGAAGATCAATCAACCTATGCTGGATGTATTCTTTGTTCTTTGCAAGTGCTTTTGTTGCATGTTCGCTCTCATTGAATGCCACAAATGCTTCGCCTTTCGGTTTACCACTGTAGCGATCATAAAGCAATACAATTCCTGCAAGTAGAAGAGAAACACTACTACTTCAGCACATGAACAGAAACAGCACCCATAACAGGAAGACGCGATAA